GTAGAAGTAACTATTATGTATAAAAATAGAAGGACAACCTAATCATTTTTCATAGCAGTAACTTAAACTTATCAAATGGAAAAGTAACGAAATTTTTGCATTACTACTGTCTTTTTGCATAAAGCGACCACTGATTCACATTATACGGTGTCTTGATTCATTCGGGTTTTCAGAGCAGCATGCTCTGAAATAATTTTTATAAAACTTGTACATGCCGGTTATTATAGTTAAGTTGGAAGAAAAACTGCTTATGACTCTATTATTATTAAGACTCTATTAATCATATTTACAAGCGCAATTGTCTGTACACTGTCAGCCATGAAATGTTACGAAATATGGTAATTTTAAAGACGTCGGCTTTTTTTTCTTTTACTCTTTCCGCCTTGTGGGCACTAAGAGTTCCTCTTTTAGCAAGCCCGTTATGGGTTCGATTAGCCTACAATGGGGCGGCCGACGTATCTGATCGGACCACCCCCGAAAAATTCCTGGGATTCTTCGACCTGTTCGGGTTAGATCCCGGGTCCCGCAGAACAGCCTACTGCTCTGCGGGAACCTTGACCGTTCGGCCATCCGGCCGTCATAGCTTTCTGATAACACATGTACTCGTAGTGGTGCGTATGTGTGTAGATAATTTTTGTATACTGTATTAAATTATTTTCAGATATGTGATTTGCAATATAAAACTAACGGTTTAAATAGCTATTTCCCAGGTGCCAGCCATGTTTCATTTATCTGAAACTGCAGTGACTGTTTTGAAAAAATGAATGGCTCATAGACAAGTATTGTGCACTTTCTGAGTTTTCGACAATGCTAAACTTCCACTTCTGTTTGACTTTTACGTGACTCGGAATATTCACTGCAACTGCGATTAAAGACACCAGTTGCCTCCCAGCGAATCACCCTAGGGAAACATTATAACAGGTCACTTCAATTCGGTAAGGTTGTTGCGCGTTGTAATTTAACTTACACTATACTAATGCAAAATATTTTACAGTTGAATGCATACAAATCGTATGATTGTTGTGAAGGGCAAGAACTGCCTGATTATGGCGGAAGGGTGAAAAATCAACGAATTTAAAATTCGTTTTTGTGATCAGAAGAAATTTGTGCAAGATGCTAAACATCACTTACAATAATAGAAATCTTGTACAAAAACAAAGATTCTTCATAAGAAAGCTGGCCTTAATGGGCCAGCTTCCTTACGATTGAAGTTTTTCACTATACTATGTTCAGTTGCCTTAAGAAGCGGTACAGTTTCCCTATCTCTCTAGATCATTCTCAGATTGTTTTATTTTGGAATAGAGGCATTTCACGCGATCTTTCCACCCACTCCGGTATTTTTACTATTCTGGCCGATTTTTTTCACCGGCCTCTTTTCATTTAGCATTGTTGCTAACTTTTCCTACAAGTTACCATCTTCAGTGAGTTCATATTAATTGTTGCAATTCATGAATTTTCTTTCGAAAACTGAATAATTGTTTCCTTTTCTTTTGACTATCTGAAATCTTCATTTTTACTTTCCCAGCTGTTATTTAAAACAGAGGGAAATTATGGCGATCGGTCAAAAAATTACCCTCCAAGACTTTTTCCTTTTTTGGCTTCGGGGGCCTTTGAACGTTGGGTAACGGGGAAAAAAAGGGTTTTTTTTGTATGAGTAAATTTTTGTGTTTGTGTTTTGTGTCTATGTGGAAGGGCACGATTTTGTTCACCCATTTTGAAGTTTAATAATTCTTGTGCTCGAAATTTTCTGAAATTTTACAGGGAAGTTTGCGTATTAGGAGGATTGATTTTATTAAATTTTGCTGGTTAAAGGTCGAGGGGGAGATAGAGGGGAGTCATATGTCGTATCTCAAATAGGGTTGGACATAATGAAGACTTTACTTGTTATTAGCATTTGCAATTTTTCCCCTTTTTATAAAACTCGTCTCTACCTCAAAACTAAGCTTTTTGCAATTTTAAGTTTTTGTTAGATTTTTAACTTCCGTTTCAACACTAAAGTCCGATGTATCAGTATCATGGACGTGACTATCTCAAAGTAGGCGCAACTAGTCGATACGTGAGAGAATCGCGCGATATCTATCCAAAATACTCCAAGCACGATTGTATCCTGTTTTCGCCCATCTCTCGCGTACGACCGACATCTAGGAATACAACAGCAGTCCAAAAACACAGCCCCTGGTCAGGCGGAGTTTACCGGGTTTACTTTATCTGTCTAACATCTAAACGGGCAGTTCTCCATAGAATATCTTCCTTGGAGGCGCTATTTCATTGGCAGATCGCCAACGTGTTGAATTCACTTTCCCATCAAACCAAACCATTTCTAATTGGAGATTTCGGTGTACATTGTTATGCTTAAGAAGTTTGTGTCACTGGCTGCGTTCAGCAGACTGAACAGTTTCGGAGCTGTTGAGTACTGAACACCCTCTACAGTAGCGCTGTTTTGGAACATTTTGAGTGTTTTGACGTCACATTTAGTAGCGAATTTCATTTACGTTACCTTCGGGTATAACTGGTATAACTGATCAAAGATGGCTGCGCTCACATGGCATTGAAGTATGCATTTTTTGCTCGTATGAATGCATACATTACAGTATTAATCTATTTAAAACAGATTCGTTGTCATTAAATAACAGTTACTGCTAACTTATCTTAGCTCAGTTAAAACTGTTGAGTCTACTGAACGCAGCCATTTTGTAAATGATAACTATTATGATAACTGTTATTAAATAAACTAATTATATTTATGAAATCAGTTTTAGTGATTTATAATATGATTTGGAAAGCAAATTAAATTGTGAGTTGTTTTTATTTTAATTACAGTTTTGCCCTGTAGGCACTAAAGGGCCTGTTTTCCACGTCTATCAATGGTTCGGCCAGGTTTACAAAGGGAATAGCCGGCTGGTGAAAGACATGGCCAAGTGTATTTCGGTTTACTTCGAAGAATTACTGGGATTTTTTCGACAGCTCAAGTTCGATCTTGGATTCCCCATAGCTGTAGGCTGTGACCTTAACAGCCTCGGCATCAATTTTTATTTATGAAGAAAAATTTTTTTATATATGATGTTTTTACATAAAAATTAAGAAAAAATAATGGTTCAGTTTGGTTTAGGCAATACGACGCACGGCGATCTGCCGAGGGGATGCCTCCTGGGAGGACATATATCAGAAATTTGCCCCTATACAAACGTGAAGCACCATTGGGCAGCCCATTGGCAAAGCGTGAACTCACGACCAGTATTCAGTGGTTTTATCCACTCGGCCACTGGTGGGGAAAAAAAGGAATTACAAAATCTGAATAAATGCGGATTTATTACTAATGTGTATCAATTCATAGTCATTCAAGATGAAACTTTAAAGATTTTCAATTAAACAATGATAAAAGAAAATGTTTTCAGTGCCTAAATAGCTTTAATAAAAGAATCAGAAAAATAAACTCTGAAAATAAATATAGAAGCTATTATCAACCGCATACTGTTCAATACAAACATAACTCCAGCTGCGTACCGCAATTGGCATTGATTGATTTATTGTGCATCTCAGAATTAGATTTATTTCAAAAGTATCAGTAATTCAAATTCCTGTTCTCAAAATTATATCGTAACAGTCATAATTGTATTTGGGACATCATACAGAGTGTTTACAAAATTCCTGTTTGTTTCAGAAAAATTACAGATAACTCGGATTAAATTCAATTATAAAACTATAGAAGGCATATTTTTACTAAATATACCTTCTATAGTTTTATAATTGAAATCTTATAACAGCCAGGAAAGTTATGCAACTCGTTGCTGGATTATTATTATTTATTATTAATTTAATTTGACTGTAATCTATTAATACGACTTATTGCACTGATGTAAAATACAGTGGCAAAAACGAGATTTTATTTGTTACCGGTGCTTTATTTGCACCTTATACAATACTTTCCCAAAATACAAGAAAGTATTGTATAAGGGTGCAAAAAAGTTTTCTGTAAACCTATAGATCTGCAAAATTTGGCAGCTGGTAGAGGGCCAAAATTAAAATAGGCTAAACTTTCTCGGGCCGTAGGTAGCTTTAATGATTAAACTATTTTGCAAATGAACCGCATTATAAAAATGGGAAATTTCAATTAATTATACTCATTACTTCAGATTTTTTTAACCATGAGATCACATTAATACATTTTACTTTCTTTTACAACCTGTACATTTCTCGCGGGCCACCACCTTGGCAGGCCTGGAGTAATAAAGTCTCGTTTTTGCGAACCCACCAATATCCGAATGGATCGTGGGTTCGTGCCTCGCCACGTGGAGTTTTCCGGGTTTTCTCCACATCTACATAGGGGCCAGTTTCTCTTAAAAAGATTTCCCAGGGGAAGATATCCCCTTGGTAGATCACCCACGTGTCGCATTGCCGAATGAAACCAACTAGACTCTCGTCGTTTTTTAGCTCTCTGCCCTATGGGCACTAAGAGGGCCTCTTTGAGCAAGACAATTATGAATTCGACCAGGTTCAAAATGGGGCGGTCGGGTGGTGAGGGACGGGGCCCGACATATTCAGACGGATACCATCTCTCGAGAAATTCCTAGGAATTTAGCGATTCGTCCGGATTCGAACCCGGATCCCCCACAGCTGTAGGCTGTTACCTTAACCGCTCGGCCATCCGGCCTACTAAACTCTCGTTTTTACAACCACGGTTTGCATCAGTGCAATAAGTCTATTAATAGATTATACTCATAGTAAACTAATAATAAAATATAACTAAAATGATTATTATTTATTTCTCACTATTGAACGAAGCGTACTCGAATAAGATTCGGGGAAACGGGATCTAATCATATCTCACAAAAGATTAGATCAGATAACAACGCACGAAATATTTTAACTAAATAAATTTTTAAAAATATTTACGAAAATTATTACAAATTAAATGAAATCACACACAAAAAAATTACGAAACTAAATAAAATTTCAAAAAAAAAAAAAAACACGATGAAGGTATTAACTACAGGCAGGTGGCGGTTACCCAGAATCCCTTTCGAATTTTCAACCGCCATTATTGTCTTTCTTTCTGGTTTCGCGACATTTTGAAAGATTTTTTATTGATAATAAGGCTGAAAATGTCGGACAAAATAGACATGTCTTTAGATGATATCATCAAATTGAACAAAAATGATTATCGGATGTTGCGTGGACGAGGCCAGAGAGGCGGAAGAGGTGGAAGGGGACGAAGTAGCGCGACGACGGGTCGTTCACGTGGAGCTGGAGCAATAAGAACAAGAACGAATCGAGGAAGATCAAGACCCACTCCTTACAACAGAGTGAGTATCCATTTTACCACAGCTTCTATCCACATTCTTCTCTTGTTAAATCCTACGTAACGCATCTTGACTTTATTAATAGACGTGTGATCACACTTTCGACCATTTTGTATGTAATTTGATCTGTTTTCTAGTTTAAATCCGATTCAAAATGGTTTATGTTATTCAAATAAACAAAATCTAACCGTTATAAGTGTACATTTTGATAGTCGATTACAAATCTATTGATTTATATTTTTTAATCTTTTAATTGTTTTAAAATTACTTTTTTATTTTAAATAATTAAGTATATGCTTTAATTATTGTTTGGTGTATTATGCATCTAATTGTAATTACTGTATTAACAACAATAGTAAGATTGTCAGGTAAGGTCTTGGGTGTTTGTTAACAATAGCAGTGGTAAGCGAGTTGACAGTTATAAATTTGGTGGTTTTATTACAGAATTTATTGATGTAAGGATTCAAAATGTCAATAAATTCAGACAATACAAGATGATTTTTTTGTTATCATTGGATAAACTGTGATTTGAAAGGTAATATAGAATCGCGGTCTATGCGCACTGTATTTAGTTTCTTTGTCTTATTTTCGTACCATGGAGAATTTAAATTGAAATTTATGCTACTTTCTCTACTGATCTTTCATGGTTTTTAGTGTTAGGAAAAATAGTGTTGCATAATACATATTGCAGTTTTTTTTTTCTATAAAATTTTGGTGGAGAAAGAATGTTTTGTTTTATTTAAATTTGGGAATATAGTAAAGCTGTTAAAAATTGATTTGTTTGTAAACAAGAAAGCTTATTTAAAAATTATAAAATAATTGAAGAGTACGGAAAATGTCAGCCCAGATTTAATAAGGACAAAATGTGAAGACATTTTTTTTTTGTATTATTCAATTGTTTTTAAGTATATTTATCAACCTGGCCAATTTTTACCAATAAAAAAATTTATGATTATTAAAATGGTTTGATGAGGCTATGATTTGTAAATATCATTTGTGTTTGACTACACCTATAACGCTACAATTATGGAACTCAAAATCATGTATACTGGATTTTGAGTTCCGTAAGTATACTGTTATAGGTGTATTCAACCACAAAATACCATAAGACAATTTGTTTATAATAAGTGATTATGGCATTTGTGGAAATTGGCCCACTCATTCCATTTGTGTGCCAAACTTCCATTTATGTCATAATTGCCTATATTATAAACTAATTGCATAATACACTATTGTTGATTATTGAAAAATATGTAGTAAAGTATGAAAATATGTAAAAAGTATAATCATGAGATCTTTTATTTAATTAAAAGAAGTTTTCTTCTGAAATTGAATTTTCCTCTATTCTATTGATTGATATAATATCCATACAATAGAATATTACCTTTTTATTTTCTTTAAATTCAAAACTTGATATGTTTGGTAGCTTTCAGATCCTGTTGTTTATTTTTGTAAATTAGAATATATGTAGGTTTTATTTATGAAAACTTTACACAAATGATTAAACAATACAGCACAATCTTAGTAATCTGGCTGTTTACTATTTTGACATGTTCAATAATTCAACATTAGTCAACTCGGGTATTATCAGCACTGTTGTCAAATTGTCGTCAATCTTTCTGCTAGTTCAAGTGCAGTTCTCACTAAGTTTGAAAATCTCACTAACATGACGTTATAACATGACATCTCATTAACATGACGTTTATTGAGTCTCTTATAACAATACAGCTGTCCCTTGATAGTCCGGCATGCTCAGTAGTCCGACGCACCTCCCGTCAATGTACCCATCCTTGTTACATGTCTGCTTGCACAGAAGCATGTCGCAACATGAATCTCCTCACCCAATTCTTACACAATGACACACATTTCATGTGTTTTCCGTACAAACAGTTGGAGTAGGGAATATTGTAGGCTACTGCCAGTAAAACGGTGCCAAATATGTAATCACTTTCTGTAATCCGATACCCCTTTGGTCCCATACCTGTCGGATTATCAAGGGACAGCTGTGTTGTATAAATATGAAAATCAGTTTCCCAGAATTTCCCACCAAAAATACTGTATCTCACAAAATTTATTGATAACTGACCAGTAATGGTATCATTCATATTATGTAAATCAATATTTTCTTCAGGAATAACATACAGTGGTCACTGTGTTTTCAAAATTGTTCATTTATTATCGTTGTTTTAATATCAAACTTGTTTTGAATACATTTGAAAATGGAGAAATCCAAAAACATTTGTATATTGAATAAAACTTGACTTCTAAAATAGTATAAAATCTGGGGTTTCACTGCATAGTGTCAAAATTGCCACTTATTTTATTAAAGGGGCAATAAAAACTGTAGTTTGCTTATTTTGACACTCAGAGTGAAATTGAATCAAAAAGCACACTTCAAGAAAAACAGCAGAATGTCAAGCTTGTGTGCAATGGAGGTCCATGCATCATACACCCAGCAATGTCATGACATCACGTGGCAAGTTTGGACAGGAAAGCATGTAATAATGTTGAGAACTGAAGGCAGTTTTCATGCAATGCTATTCAGTGTTTTCAGATTGGTGATTTTTTTTATCAACTGATATAAAATTTGGGGAATTTTTTGGGGGGTGACTTTTCACTTTAATCTTTTCTTAGTAGGCTAATGCATAAGAATTTTGACATGACGGAAGCTATGAATTACTGCTTAACCATTGTGATCAAATGTGTTGTTCGAAATTATTCAAAATTACTTCTGAATGACAGCTTAATATGTTACGTTTGCTTTCCAGACTCCAAACTGATAAGACTGTCAGTACCTGCATTAATTAGTAAATAAAACTGGTGGTGATAAATAATTTATTTAAAACCTTTACAGTTTCTAATGCATATGTCAATAATTTGATATTTTATTAAATCTGATATTTTTATGTAATAATAAACAAGTAGTTCAGTAATTTAATACTTCGTTATTTGACTGATGATTTCAAGGCTAAGTAATTACTTTGCTATTTGATCTTAAAATAGTTATTATAAACTAGGGTTTCTCATTTCCCCGTATTTTGCTTGTCCCTGGATTCCAGGATAAAAGCAAACTGTTCCCCGGGAAACCCCGGGATAGAATTAATTATTTTTAAGATATACAAAATATCATGAAATCAAATGATATAATTATTTTTTGTTTTTTAAAGTAATTTAATTAATACGTTCTGCAACCTCCAAAATCATATTAATAATGCTGTGTAAGACATATATTAACAATTACCTTTGAATTACGTAGAAATTTTCACAAATAGAAAAAATTTATTACAGTTTGCTGGAAACTGCATACAACAACAACAACAACAACAACAAAAATTTAAATTTATATAATAAGATTTTAAAAAGCAAAGATGGTCAATACTCTGATCACTCAATTTGATTCTTATTTTAGTATTGAAAAGTCCTACTATTGAGAATGCCCTTTCTGATTCAATTGATGTGAATGGAATTCTGTCTTCTCTTAAATGCATTAAACGTGTATTGTGTGTTTTTTCACCTGTAGCCTGGAAGATTTCTAGTTCATTTTCGAGATTGTAGTAATTCTTTTGCTGTCTAGTATTCTTGAGTTGTCTACCTTGGCTGCTTTAATAGAAGCATCAAGCTTATAGCCCAATAATTTGGCAGTTCATTTGTCTTTAATAATCGGGTTTATGGAGAAAAACTTCATATTTGCAGACTTCATACTCATTTCTATCCTTGCCCAATTTGCACAACCTGGCATTATGCAGTTATTGAATCTACTGAGCATGGTTAAAAATTAAGTTAGCATAAGTACAATTATTCCAAATATTACTGGTTCTGACAAGTAAAGAATTTTCAGAGTCTTGCCACAAATAAGCCACATGTTGATTATTGACCATTTGTGACATGCCATAACGAGCAAAAATGTAAAAAAACTAATAAGTAGGTTTAAAATTAATAAATACAAATGTATTCTGATCGTTTATGAGTTAATTATACTTTCTATTTGCAAAATTTCCTCAACCTTAACACAAAATAAGAAAAAAGTGAATTTTTAAGAAATTTACGGGATTTCCTGGCTTAAAAATACAACCGGGATCTAGTTTGAGAAACCGTAATATAAAATCATATGAAATTTTATTGAATTTATCAAGCAAAATAATAATTTGATGTTTTTCTTCTGGCTTCATATTTACAGTACGTACGATATTATATCAATTGTAAATACATTTCTAGATGTTTATAAATGTTCACAAGATAAATATAATGTTAACCTATAATCATGTGCAGTTTTATTTTAAAATATGAACATGAGTAATATAATTTTCCACTGATTTTTTTATGCATGATTATGCTACAAGTAATTGCTGTTCCTCAAGTTTGACAGTTTTAAGGAATCTGTAATATGTGTTTTCTGCATATGCAAGATTTCAACTTTATGTATTGTTGTGAGTCACAGAAGTTGAAAGTAATGTAAATTAGTGTGGGGGGGTCCATGAAAACTTTCAACTCTGAGAAAATTTGAATTAAGGAAATCAAGTTGAAGACACTAAATCCCTATGCTGTTCCATTGAGACCTACCGAGTGCTTTATTTTCTTCAAGTTTCAGATGTTTGAGTTAGAGAAGTTTTACTGTATGATTAAATTATTTTATTTATTAAGAATTTTGGAATTAGTTGCATATCTACATTAAACTGTGTAACTCAAAATAGTTCTCAAAGCTAATAAAGTTTAAAATGCTTGTCGAGAATTTAAAAACTGACATCTGTAAATTATGAGTTTATTTTGATTTATTTAAGACATAGGAAGTTGTGGATAACATTACAGTTACTATATTTTATTAGAAACAAACATTGTTTGCTCGTTACTAATGCACCTAAATAGCCAATAGATGATGATACTTTGCATATTTTTGTATTAGATTGTACTAAATTAATATACTATAATGTAAATAAAGTATTAGAAGAAGGAAAAAGATTATTTTATTAGATAAAATAAGTTTTATCATCAAAAATATCTGAAAT